ATACTAATAATATTATTATTATTTTTATAATAATAATATTATTATTATTATTATTATCATTATTATTATTATTATTATTTATTTATATTTCCGGGAATGACTGTTTAGAGATTTAATCAAAATGTTATCATATTTGTCGTTTAAAAAAGTAGCATAATTCATAACAAACCTTCCTAAATTTACTTTCTTGTACTGAATGTTGCCATTGGAATGGAAAGCCATTGACTGAAGCCATTGGAAAGAAAATTGTTATATAAGTTGTTTGGGGAATTTGTTAGAAATTTCTAACTGGTTACATTAATAGATGTATTTATCCATATGATGCACTATCACTGATGGAGACACTATCATCGCTTTTACCATCATTTATTTACATTCATACTTCACTGCAAACTGCCTGATACAATCGTTATTTTATATCCGACTTTATTTCTTGATGAAGTTTGTAATAGTTGTAAAATTTTGAATAGTGTTTTATTGAAAAATTATTGAAATATTTCTCATCGTACTAAACTAACTTCAAGAAATTAATAGAAATTTCTCAATAAAACAGCAATTTTTTTAGATCAATTTGATTTATGCTCTGGTGTACGTTCAAATTTACAGAAATAAGAACATTGTGCTTTTATTACGAGAGAAAAAACTTGAATACTGAGAAGTGTAAGCAAATATAAAGGCAGCATTGTTTAGCAATATTAAGTTTGCTATCGTTTAATTATAGAAGTTTAAATAAATATGCTATGCCAGAAGTAGGAATTGTCTGTTTTGTTAGATTTCTCCGTAGAAATTAAATCATTCAAAAATCTTTTCATCGAGTGAATTCATTCCTGTTTTTGTGTGTGTGTGTAGAGAGAGAGAGAGAGAGAGAGAGAGAGAGAGAGAGAGAGAGAGAGAGAGAGAGAGAAAGGGAGAGAGAGAGAGAGAGAGAGAGAGAGAGAGTTTTTGAGTGTATTTCCGCTTGTTTTATATGGAATTATTATGATGTGAATTAAAATAACTATAAATTTAAATGTCTTTAAATGAGGTAAAAATTAAAAAGATATTTCATTTGAATTGAAAAATTAAGAAATGCGACTTTAGAGTTACTCGTGAGCGAGCGATTGAAATGAAAAAGACTTGTTTATATATGTTTTGTCGATTACTCCAAAGCTTTCGATAGCGTGAAACCCGTGCAGTTTATGGAAATATTGGAAAATTTGGACATTGATGGCAAAAACACGAGAGTTATCAAAAACTTTTATTGGGAATAAAGAGCAGCGATGAAAGTTTGTAACAAGATGACTAGTTTTGTCGAAATAAAAAAAGGTTTTAGGCAAGGCTGTGTATTCTCTCCAGACCTGTACAATCTCTATAGTGAGATCATCATGAGAAAGATAGAAGATCTACCGGGAATATCCATTGGAGGTGTGAATATACACAATGTAAGATATGCTGATGATACAGTTCTTATAGCAGATTCAATGGAAAAACTGTACAATTGTTTCAAAACTGGTTTTTGTAAGTGAAAGAAAAAGCTTGCAAATTAATATCAACAAAACAGAGTCATGGTTACCAGTAAAAGCAAACCCGCTCTGATCTGCTCTATAATCATTAATGGTAAACAAGTGAAACAAGTCAACAGCTTTAATTATTTCGGAAATCTGATTACCCTAGGTTGTAAATGTTATATGAATATCAAAAGAAAGATACCTATGGCAAAAGATGCCTATTCTAAAACAAAAACATTCTCACCAACAGTAAAATCAGAATATCCACAAAATTATAACTGTTAGGGTGTTGCATTTTTCCTGTGCTAACTTACGGCTCTGAGTCCTGGAAAATTTCTAAAGAAATGGAAAAAAATTTAAGGCTTCTTAGATGTGGTTTTTGAGAAAAATTATGAAAATTAGTTGGACCTCTCATACCTCAAATGAGGATGTATTAAAACAGCCCGGTAATGAAAAGAGGAAATTACTAACAGAGAATCCGACGGGTGCAGTTAAAGTTTTTTGGTCACATCATGCGGAAGGAAAAAATGGAAAATCTTACAACCACTTGAAAGATAGCAGAAAAAAGAGATCGCGGTCAACAACAAATTAGATTTTTGAAGTTCTTTAGTCACTTGTTGAGTATCACCACATTTCAACTACTACAAAGTGTTAAAGATCGGGTTTTGTGGAGGTCGATGGCTGCCAATGTCCTGAAAGGATAAGGCACGAGAAAGGAGAAGAAAGAATTGTTAAAATATTTTTTTTATTTAAAAAAATTTGTATGTCCTTTGTGCTATTATTGTCGACAGCAGTCAGTTTAACATTAGCACCAACCATCTTAATATGCTTTGTCAATGAAAGAGCAAATCACCGTTAGCAAATTTTACACGTAACCGAAGTTTGTTTTTTTTCAATAAATTTTATTTCATGGTTGTTTTCCAAAGTAATGTCAAATAAAATACTACAACATTCCAAAAAAGATAACACGACAACAATGAAACTAATTTATACATTTTACATCTTGTTCATCCAATCGGTTCTTATTATGACTCGATAGATGGCTGGATGGTTTGAAAAAATTTTAATAAAATGAAACCAAATGAACCATTCATAACTATAAATAATACTTGAATGAAATCCACTAATAAATAAATTAAAATAAACATTTTTATGCAATAAATAATTTGAATGGCAAAAATAGATAATACTTTTTCATATTTAAATGTACCTCTGGTTAAATTTTTCAATACCTGCTTTCTGGAAAGTTCATGAAACGTATACATATCAGTAAATATCAAAAAAATATTAATACGACTTTTTTTAAATTTGTGATGTCTGAAAATGAAAGTGTCTGTTTAGTGTTTATAGATATAAAATTAATGTGTGTTTAACTGGGTCGAGTTTAGAGGTGTGGTGGCCCTAATGCAACGATAAAAGGGAGGGTTTCTGGTTAACAGTTGAGGCTTTGAACTACTTTGCAAATGCTTTCATCTTTTTAATTTCTTATAATTTTCAGCATCACCATGGCATAATTACCTTCGAAAAAGTTGGTAGCCTTTTTAAGGTTATTTATTCTATATTTTTTAACAACTTCTTTCGTAAGAAAAAGCGTTTGTAACATTTTAACAAGTTATATTAATTTTCTTTTTTGTAGATATCCTAGGGTACCTGTTCTGTTTTAAGTCTGGTTCTGCGTGTGCGTGCATGTGTGTGCGTGTGTGTGTATGTGCGTGCGTGTGTGTGTATGGTGTGTGCGCGTGTGTGGTGTGTGTGTGTAACACATAATAATAGATCGCGATACATTATGTGCTTAACATACAATTAAGAACTGAAATGATTTCTAAAAAATAAATTTATTTCATTTTACATTACTAATGAGTAATTATTGGTTTTCGTCAAAGCGTTAATTTAATTTAAAAATAGTAAAGTTCAGTTGAAAATAACTTTCAAGCAAGTTAACAACTTACTGAAATATTTGCCGTCAAAACTGGAAAACAATGTTATAGTTATTTCACCGTGTATTGTGTGTGGAAGTTGTCCCTACAGAGATACACAATAAATAATGTTAACTGTTGATTAATACTGATAGTGCGTGTGCCAGCTACTAAAAACGAGGAATTCACATCAGTTTACGTAGGTAATATATTTAATTGAACGTAGTAAACTAGGTTATAAAAAATATTTAAACTAGCTAAATATCTAATTTAAAAAAATGGATATGTATGACTTTGTTGACATTTATAAACGTCACAACCTAGCAAGCAACTTGTAAAATTGGTTATTTAACACAAATTACATACTATATAAAGTATATATTAGTTCACAAGAAAGTCATATAATTATATAATTTGAAAGACATTAGTTTGATTAGGATGGAATAAGAAGGTCTGATGATGAACATTTTGACAGAACACAAACAATACAATGAACGTTCGTATCAAATTAATGTGAATATTTGTTAGTACGACATTCATTCAATGTTTATTTGGTTAAAACCAATGGTGAACAAGTTTGTTCCCTCCGGTATATTCATCTGAAATTTTCCCACATTACGTTTTTGTTGAACATCAGAAGAGTAGATAGAATGGCCAGTAGATGAAATTGAAGAGTAGGAATGTGACTGGGAAGAGAACACGTGATATGCAGTCCACCATTTGTGCCTTGCTCTCCTGAGCCCTGGCGTCGAACATTCTGCTCCAGCAGCCCATCTGTGAATCAGAAGAAGTCAGCATGACACGAGGTTCGTGGATCAAATCTGTCTGGTCCAGTTGTTGTTGTGGGGGCAGTGCTTGATTGGTTGGAGATAAGAATGGATTGTTGGATGGATGGCGGGGAATGATTTGAGGAGATGGTGTACAGCTGGGTATGGAACGCTGATCTTCGTCGGTCAATTTCGAATTTTTTGTCAATGGTATCATTTCCTGTTTGTATTCAAATAGTTTCATTTAATTCTAGTTATTTTATTGCTATTAAATTCATTATCGTTCAAGTCAATAAAAGATAATTGCAGAATTTATTTAACTTTTTTAACAAGTAGAACTAATCAAAGTTAGCGTATGAACACAAAAAGCAAAAAATAATCTTAAATTTTTTCTACAACTTTAATGAAATGAAATAATTTGGAATTAAGTAAAAACTAAAACTTTGTAAATAAAATCAAATTTGCGTTTAAGGGCAAGATATGGATTAAATAATAAAAAGAGATTCGCTTCTGGGATTATTAGCAACTATAGAAATAAATTCAATTGGAACAAAAGTAAGAAGAAGTACCTACCTGACACTCCATGCAATCGCCTGCTTGGTTGCCATTTTTCCGTTGAAATATGGAATACCAGGAGTAACTGTGTTGTGTAGGTAGTCGCTGTAAATTAAATATTTCTATGATATTCTTAATTTTTTCATAATCGCAAAAATTGTACACACCAAAATGTAAAATTTTCACATTCCAAGATCAACAAAAACACACAACGTTGAAATATAAAAATAAATAATTTTTAACAAAGATGTAAATTACGGAATATCAGATTAATTTCAACATCCACGATCGCAACGGTTGAAAACAGAAAAATAACCGCAACTTACTACACGAACATTTTTTGCGTCGACCGGAACAATCAAAATATTTTTCGTTTGATCGTCATCCTCCAAAACCCTCTTCAATCCACTTTCACTCTTTTCATCAGAGACATTCTCTCCCTTCCTTTCATCGTTAGATCTCGCTTTGCGTAATTTTTCAGCCTTTTCTTTCCTGGCCAAAACGTTAACAACGGAATACTCGATGAAGGAGCCAAAGACGAAGACCAAGCAGGTTGCCATCCAAACGTCGATGGCCTTCGTGAAGGAGACGGCAGGTACACCCCTCATGTGGCCAGAACTTTGGGTCGTCATCGTCAGCATGGTCAGGATGCCCAGAGATATCCGTGCTGGGACTGCATCCAAGTCGATCCAGAATGAGACCCAGGAAAGGAGGACAACTAGGAGACTCGGAAGGAATGTTGAAAGGACGTATGCCTTCAATCTTCGTTCCAAGTGGAAGTATGCTCTCAGACACGGAAAGCTTCCTGAAGTTTCAAAATATAACAATTCAATAATTTTATGACAAAGAAAAGCTACAAATTTTACATAATATTTTTTCAAACTTTTATATAATAGAAAAAGCAGAACAAAATATTCAATTCAAGCGAGTTTAGGAACCAGTGCTCTTGATGTTCTGACTGCAAACGACATGCGAGACATCCTTTAGTTCATACTCCGGCAGGCTGATGGCTTCGTTAACCTCAACTGCAGTCGCATCAGTCCTCCACTCAAACTCCAGATCCTCCGTCGTGTAGGCGTCTGAAACGTTACGTCGTATTGAAAATATTATACCCACATTACATTCAAAAATCGTACACTAACAACTAGAAAAAAATCCAAATAGAAAATTTACAATAATTTTGCAATTCATTTTCAGCTATAAACAAACAGCCTTACAACTTCCGAATTCAATTTTGCACGTCTGATTGTCCATTGGATATTTGTTGAGGATCATGTCACATGCCAGGGTCAAGGTTAGACGTTGACTGTAAAGTATTGTGCCATCTGGCGAGAGGCGGATCAATCGATTGGGGACAGTGATTGTGTGAAACGAACCTGACTATATTAGAAATTAAGTTAAGATGAGGCAGGCTGTATGGAACCAGATATCCAATTAATTTTCGACGGTGCAAATATCAAACAATGTTAAGATCTATAGTAAAGAATTTTACATTAAATAATAAAATCTATAAATACCTATAGTAAGGAATGTTACGTTAAAAAATAAAATTTATATCTATTTTCATTCGAAAACTTCAGAAGATATACTTGTTTTTAATGATTTAATATGCAATTAATTCGCAAACTAAGTTCGATGTGACCTGTAAATATTAACTCAAAATAAATAATTTGATCCAAACATGTTAGAGGTATCATGTTTAAGAGAACGAACTTTAAGATTTCTGATGAATACATCTGGAGTCCACATGCGATCAAACTGCTTGTGGTGCAGTGTGATGTTTCGGTCTGATTCGCTGTAGGCCAACCTCTCATCTTTCCACACTTGCCTCAGGTACAAAGTCGTCGAAAATTCCTATAAGTTTGTATCATGGAATTTGATGTTTGGTATAAATTCAAACTTTTATGAAAAAAGATTTCAATCAAATATTTCTACGCACAAAGTGATTTAGTCTAATTTTTAAACAATGTCATTAAATTGAAATATAATTTGTTTGTGGAGTGAAAATTTTGAAAATGGAATAACAAGAAAGCAAATAAAAAATAGCTGACCATCTTCATCTCACTGATGGAGCTGATGTCATTGACATTGAGGTTGATGAAGACTTTCAATGGTTTTCCTGCAACATTCCAATCAGCCACATTTAATTGGTTTGCATTTAATTTAATAAATTAATCAAATTAATTGTCAGATATTTGCGAAAAATCTTATTTATTGACGTGCATTGTATGATAAAAATTCATTTGAGAGTAATTGTTTCGTCGTTGTTGTTTTTTATTATACAGGACATTATCTTAAACATGTATAAATGATTTGTGGAATTTTTTGTGGAATTTGAAACAATTAAATAATTTAAAAACTTTTTTAATAAATTAATCAATTAAAAACATAAATTTTTAAAATACTATGAAAAGGTGTCGATAAATTACGTTTTGCGATTTCATTCTGATTGTTTTTTAATTTTGGGTGGCACGACGGTGTAGTGGTTAAGGTGCCTGGCATTTCAATCGCAATGACCGGGTTCAACTGCAAAAAAGATCTCCGCCTGCCACATGCAAAAGTGTATGATGCGTTGATTCACGTGTGTTTGTTAATGACACCTCCGAGAGATGCTGAAGAGATAATTGAATAAATAAATCAAATAAATAAATAATAATAAAATAACTAAATATTAAAAGGAATGCGTTGATGGTATATAAATAACAAAATTTTTTATAAGTCGTTAGTAGCACGTTGGTGGAACGACTTGCAGAGGCAGATGGTTCTAACGAACGACTGGAGATTTAAACTGATGGAAATTATTAGAGAATGACATGTCTTTCATATCAGACAACATGAATGCAGTAAGCAAAATTACTCTCGGGTACAATTTGCGTGCAGTTATTTGATGTACGATTGTACACTAAACTGATGAGATGCAATGATATATATATTTATATATATGAAATATATTTATATATAGGGTGATTATATATGGTAATATTGAAAGAGGAGAATATAAGAAATAAATTGGTATAAATGAGACGTCGTTAATAAAACAGTGCAAATGCTTTCATGTTATTAAAATGAACATGAATATTCATCAGGCATGCACCACCAAATTAACGACTAACAGTTTGCTGGCGTACGTGCGTTGCGTATGTTTGCTGATGGATGCATGTTTGCCGTGCACGCAAATGAGAATGAGGGAACAACTTTTTGTGTACACTTGCCAGCCTGGTTTACTTAAATGTAATTAAAACTATGTAAATATGGAATTCATTATATGTTTGCGTTACTTGCGCGTAAACATTTTTATACATAGGAAAATAAAAAAACACACATATATCTATATACTACACACACACAAACATACACACACAAACATACACACACAGAAACACAGACAAACACACATACAGACGACATAGTGTAAAGAAGTTTCAGGTTGAAAGAAAAGCACACTGAAGTAATTGCATTTTAAAACGAGCATTTTATAACAGTTTCTACACATTCAAAAGTTGTATGAATGAACGAATGAATGAATGAATGAATGAATAATTGAAAGAATGAATAAATAAATGAATGGATGGATGAATAAATGAACAAATGAACAAATGAAAGAATAAAAGATTAGAAGAATGAATGAATGAATAACACCATTCTGAATAACAATGAAAATGTAATTGAATTTAAAAGTTTTCAGTTTAATCCTATTTTATACAATGCAACTAAGAGTTTGATGACGACGACGACGATGATACGATGATAACTAGAGCTACGATAGTGATAACAAGGGTGATGACGACGATGACGATGATGACTAGAATGATGATGATGATGATGACGACCGCAGACAAACCATGTCGACCGCTTTGAATTTGACGATGATGACATAATGTCAACCAGTAGGAAGAAGATGAAAACGACGACATGCTACTGATGGTGATTTTAGCAGATGTGATAACGACTATGTTGAAAATTAGGACGTGAAAATGGAAATGATAATAATATAAGAGAGTCGCGGTGGTGTAGCGGTAAAGTGTCTGGGGGCACTAATATTGGAGACACTGGATTCGATTGCAAAGAGATCTATCCCCGTCTAATATGGTGCGTTGTTTTATTTGTGTGTGTGTTTGTGTGTTGTGTGTGTGGTGTGTGTGTGTTGATGTCTTTGAAAAATATTGAAGAAAGATTCGAAATAAATAAATAAATAAGTAAGTAGATTAATAAATTAATTAATATAACTAACTCAATATCAATGATGTTTATTTTATTTCATGTACAAAATCGAAATATTAATAAAATGTGATTAATAATGATAATAAAATACTAAAGCGTTGGAAAACATTGCTGATGGTAGAAGAAAATGATGATGACGATGATAATAATAATAATAATGATGATGATGATGGTAATGATAATAATAACAATAGATGATGATGATGACGACGACGATGATGATGATGATGATGTGAGGGTGATCATTAACTTTAGACGGGATAATTTCACTGAATTTTGAAAATGGAAAATGTTCCGGAAGTAAATGGCTGACCAATCATATCTCAGCATGACATCTTTTAACATGAAACTACAATTTGAAACAATCTTTAGCAAGTCATTTTTTTGGTTTGCTTCTTAAATTATCCTCCGAATCTTAGCTGCAGCTCTTGAAATAGTTCTCCAATAAGTGAGGTGTGATCTAATAAGTATAATTTGTACTTTTAGAAATGTTTTATCATCTGTCTGTGTGTATGTGTGTTTTGTGTGCGTGCGTGTGTATGTGCGTGTGTGTGTTTTGTCTGTCTGTGTGTGTGTGTGTAGATCGAAAACTGATGTTTTTTTTACATAAAATCTTAATTGATTTAAACACATAATTACATGATTTATAAAATTTTGAAAAATGAACGGTCTTTTAAGATTTTTAAGAAGGAAGATAAAAAATTCCACAAATGGAAAAAATTACTGACGGTACATAATGGAAATTGTATTTTTGTAAAGAGTTGTCGTTTGATTGATACGTTGAATGGTGAATGTTGTTTGCGAAATTTCCCCACTGCCGATGGATAATAAGATTAGAGTAATGCTCTTAAGGGTATTAAGCCTCTTGCGGGTTTCCATGTTTTCAGATTCTCGTACGTTTGTTTCTACTTGCACGTGTTCACCAATTAGGTGGTCTACTTTGCGTTCGTAATGTGAAATTGACGAACAAATTGATTAAATTTTTAATTAAATAATTAAAAGCATGGAGTCAACTTTTACTCTCAAGCAATCGTGGCGTCATACTACCAAGACATCATAATCCGCTGAATGACTAATTTTAAATCTTTAAGAGATATTTGTATAGCTGATTTTCGTTATGACGTATTTTTTTTTAGGACGAATTAGATTGGAAGGAACAGACTACGAAGAGCAAATGTGATAGAGAAACGTTTGACGTATTACAAAAAGTTCATTTTCAGTTTTCTTAAAATATTTTCATTTCATATGTCCATAACATAATCATATTTACCATCGTCATCATCGTCATTATCATAATCATCATCATCATCATCACTACCATCATCATCATCATTATCGTCATCACTACCATCATCATTATCATCATCATCATCACTACCACCATCATCATCATAATCACATATTCACAACCACCTGAATCGGCTCCTGGCCTGGCTCTACTGTTGTATTTGGACTCGTCAAAGAGGTCATCAACGAGGTCCGACAAGGACCTTGAACTTTGAAGATGTGAGCTACATGATGAATGAATGAACAAATAAATGAATGAATAGAAGAAATCAGTCGTCATAATTTTTTTAAATAAAATGAAATGATGTTTATTCAAAATTTTCAGGCTTAATATGTGCATACGCATAAATTGTTATATTTTTAGAATTTTGATATTTTATTATTATCAGAGGCAAAAACTTGCATAACTATTGAGGTACATGCTTGTCAAACAAAAGTTTTACACAATGGACGGTGTGGTGGTGTAACGGTAAAGAGCCTGACATTGCTATAGCGGTGACCGGATTCCATTGCAAAGACATCCCCGTCTTTCGCATTCAATGTGTGTCTATGTATTGTTTCACGTGTAGTTACATTCAGTGTGTGAAAAATATTGACTAGAAAAGGGTAATGTATAGATAATTTTAATAAATATGAACTATTTTATTGTAATTAATCCAAACTTGTAATGTTCATATTCGTAATGTACGTCATCCGATTGAGTGGCACTCAAAACTGATGTCATATTCACGACGACGAAGATGAAGAGAAAGATGAAACAAGAAGATTTTGTCGTCATCATCATCGTCGTCGTCATCTTCATTATTAATTTTGACACGAGTTTCGTAATTGTCATCTTTGTTGTTGTTGTCATCGGCTCTTTATTGAATTATACGATCAGATTTCATTCTGTTTAATCCTGGAAAGTTATTAGAAAAATTTAATTTTCCAATCTTTTTATTTTTTTAAATAATTGAAAACAAAAATATTTCAGGTTTATTTTTAGAATATCGAATTTGAAATATAATTGGATAATAACTTTTTCAGATAAATATAGCAAAATAGAAATATAGAAATAAAAACAAATAACTCTTTTTTCACTTTTGTAATTTTCAAAGCCTGATGCCAAGTATTTAGAATACCTATGGAAATATCGGCGTTTATGAAGATGTGTATGTGTGTGTATGTGCGTGAGTGAGCGTGTGTGGATATGTTTGTGTGTGTGTGTGTGTGTGTGTGTGTGGATATGCATGTGTGTGTGTGTATGTGGATGATGTATATGTGTGTATAAAACTCAAAGAGCCCATAAACTATTAAAAAACTTTATTGAAAATGTTCGTTAATGAATGATTGACAAACAATGTAAAATTGATTGCAGTTTATAATAATGGCACATACATATTCTTATTAAAAGTTTATGTTACAATTAATAAGTTTAAAATAAAATTACTGAAGAACTTTCCACTGGTCAAAATAATTAAAAGTTTTTTAAAAATCCAAATTTATAACAGATTTTCATCACGCAAAATTGAAATAAACTTCGAAAAACGTCACCATAAATCATTTTCTACCAAATTTATTTCGTATCACAAAGGTGGGAATGAGACAAACGCGAAGTTTGAAAGATATCTTT